CGCCGACCGACGCTGCACGCTCGATAGGCATTTCACCCGCTTCCGAATATCTCTCTCTCTCTCTCTCGCCGTTGCGTTTAGCCCGTGTGAAATCGCTACGCTTCGGCAAACTGCTGCCCAAATCCACCCTTCTTTCCCTTTCGAACTACGTTTCTTTTCTCTCGTTACGCTTCGCGATTGTTTGCTTTTATTGAAATCACTGAGGAATGAGTTCTAATCAAACGCAGTTAGTTTTTCAAACGTGCTGTTCCCATCGGAGTCTCGCAATACGCAAGCGAAATCGCGATAGAAAGAAGACCAGATCAAGTCTTGGCTCGACGTTCTGTTTTTTTTTTTTTTTTTTTTCTAAATTGGAGATTTTCTACCAGAAGATGTGTTCTTTCAATACCAGCATTGATCAGTATCAAGTTCGACGATTTAAGTTGACAATTTCATGAAATTGCTGTCGTCATTCCGACGTCGGATAGCAACAGTAGCAAACTTGCGGCTGGACTCGCTCGTCTCGATCGTTTCAACCGGACATACCGCTTCCATCGCCGAATAGCCGTCGTACTCCGAGCGGAATAAACGATTCGCACGTTTCGACTATAAATTACGGCACATTTACGACGAACGCTCGGTGGGAAAGGCATCCGGGACAGGAGACGGACAGGGAGCGCGGCGAGGATGCCTTAAGGCGACGGCATTTCGATAATTGGAAACCAATGAGGCGGCAGTGGGAGGGTTTCCAAGCTAAAAATCAACCCTTCCGCCCTACCTTCAGGCCCTAATGAAGCGAACCTTCGCCGTTGCCAGCCGACGTGCATGCCTCCGCGTCGTATTAATTGCCTGCCCCCTCGACTTCTCGTCTCCCGACGTCCTTCCGCCCCACCCCATTCAAACTACCCCATGTTCGCCTTCCCTGCCCCCCTCCCTAGACTCGCGTCCTACCGCGTTTTGCCTCCTCTTCTTACGTCCCGCCGTCTCGCAGTTGGCCGCGATAGCGCATTCTTCGACAAATTGGATCACGCTATCGTGCGAACGGCCGATAGCTTGCAGCAGCTAATACTCGCCGGGATAACGCACCAACGCGACGCTATGGCGGTTAACTCGAGATTATGATTCGAGCGAGAATGCGAAACGAACGAAGCTGACAATCCTCCAGAAAAATGTGAATTTTCGGTGATCGAGATATATTACTGAGAAATTAGAAAAATTTCGATGCTACAGTGTGCAAAGTGAGTGAATTTTGGGCGAAATCATTTATAATGTGAGTTTTGCTAATTTCGTAGACAGACTGTGGATGATTAGGAGTAATAGGGTAGCATTCTTTTCAGGAAGAATTTTTATGATATTTGTTTAGAAGAATAAGAGGACAAGAAGAGTATAGACTATTTAAAAGAATACAACTCTGCAGATACGTATTCAATTGAACTGCAGTAGTTAATTAATCTTCAAATACTATCATTGGGTAATAATTGACTGCAGTATTTCATGTATTGGATTGCTAATACTTTTGGCTATTTACTTTCACTTTGTGCTTTACGTTTTCCAAGGTTCACCAAGATTAATAACAAGACACGATGAAATAAAAGATTTCGAAATCACGTAACATAAGCCAAAATTATCATACCCTCTGATTATGAAGATATGATAATTTTGAGAGATAAAGGGCGCGTTGTAATTAGTCGACAGGAAACGAGAGCGAAAGGGAATTTAATGAAATATGACGGTGGATTTCTCTATCGGGAGATATGCGCAAATGTAGGTTCCATCTGTGTTAAAAAGTTCATCGTTGAAATCTGTGACTGAATCGATATCACGAGGTAAAAGTGAAACGTGTAGTTTGTACGATACGTGGAATTTTAATTGTATGGTTTCGATTAATTAACCGAATGAGCCATCGGAATATAAATCGTAGAAACAAATTTGCAGAAGATACTTTTATGCATGTCTGTCAGTGAAATCATATTTAACTCCGATCGTTTCTGCGGATAAAGGTAATTTGAAAATAATGAAAGAGAAATTACTACCATGAGTCGTGACGTCGTGCTAAACACAGCCTGACGAAGAAAATGAAACGATTTATCAAACCATTCGCTACACTACAATCACTCTTCTTCAATCGTAATATCTTTATTTTCAAATAACAACTACCTATGTTGAAAAAATTGTTCGCGAAATAAATTATATAGCTTACAATGAGAACGTAGCTTATTGTAATATGAATGCCTTTCTCCCAACAGAGATTGACCATAAATTATTGTTAATCATATGTAATGATGGAAAGTTTGAAATTGGTAGTTGAACTTTTGTATTAGTCGCATATTTTATCTATCAATATTTTATACTCACAGATGCACATTGTATCAAAGTTTACACACAATGCTCATAGAGATATTTAATTTTCGTAAAACATCACGTTATAATAAAAACGAATTGAAAATATATATATTTCGTCTTTTAATATTAAATTATTCAATTGGCAAGCTATTAAAATAGTGTTATTCTGTAATATTTACAGAATTACAAGTACTAGTCACCGATGACCACCGTGTCAACCTGTTGTAAATGTAATTTCACTTTATAAAATTGTCTCAAGTCATTTGTCCTTTATCCTATCCGTCACTTTACATTTCATAAGCTTCAATTTTAGATCCTACGGTCGTAAAAAATATCAGACGACCTTAGCCGGTGTCTTTAAGGTTGAGCGAGGTTAGGGCCACTCTGAACGTAATTCCGTTAGGTAGGCCTCGAATCGATATAATCAACGGACACGCAGGGGGTGAGTTTTCACCCGCCGCCGGTTGCTTCACTACGATTCTTCCGCCTAAATTCAACCCCCCGCGCGCTCTGTAATCTTCGGGCGCTCTCCACGGCGACCCTTACTTCTCAGAAGGGAGCGCAACCCGATTCGAAGCTATCCGACGGTTTGGACCGGTGTCATCGAAAGGGAACCTGCCTCCGAAATCAGATTGCCAAATGTTTTCCAAACTTGTGGACCAAAGATTTTTCAATAATGGACCAAAAATTAATTGGTTTTCTTCGAGAATATATTTAAACCTCTTATTATTGCTTTCTGCTGCAGACTCGAAGTGTAAAATTTGAAAAATAATGAATAAAATTATATTGAATAATTTAGAAAATACCAGAATACAAACTGACATATATATTTGATAGACAAACAGTATAAATTTTGAAAATTGTAAATTACGACAATCGGTATCGATCGGTTTTGTTTTATTATGTTACTAAGGGATCAGAATCGCAGAAACATTCTTTCATTCAGAGTGATAAACTTCTTCACCCCGATATAAAACCAAAAATTCCAAAAACACGATTTATAGAAATAGCACCCACTCTCTTTAGTTGTGAAAAAAGGAACAAACACTTACGTCTAAAATCTGTCAGGCCATGGACGTGTCAAACCGTGTTCCCTCCATTGATTCAATCTGACTCTTCCACGCTCGTACCAATCTGTTACACCAGATAAAAAACACAACGAGTAGCGTCACAGTCGCTTCAGAACTAGTTCACCGGTGACGATGACACGGACGTGCACCGTCGGCGACATGGAACGTCTTCCACCTTTCGAGGAAAGATCGAAATGGAAAAGAGCGAGACGCGACAAGTACACGGTACTTTCGATGACGAAGCCAAGACGTCGGAATGAACATGGGCGCGAGATGTGGCACAACCCGAGACCTAGACACTACTGAACCAGCCCCATGGCAAACCTTGTTAACGGCAGTCGACAACCAAGTTTAAACTTCGGGTAACAATTCCCCTACCAGCTAACTCTCTCATTCTCTCTTCCCCCCTCTCTCTCTCTCTTTCTCTGTTTCTCTCCTCGCGTGCTCTCCCCCCTCCCTCTGGGATCCATCTCTCTCTCTCTCTCTCTCTCTC